GGAGCCCTGGTGCACTGCTGGTGGGAACGCAGACTGGGGCAGCCACTGTGGAAAACAGTATGGAGGTTCCTCAAAAGATTAAAAATGGAGCTGCCATTTGACCCAGTGATTCCACTTCTGGGAATATATCCTAAAAAACCTGAAACACTAATCAGAAAGAAAATATGCACCCCTGTGTTCATAGCAGAGGTTCATAGCAAGCTAAGAGGTTTACTTTCAAATGCTGACTGCCATTTAGCATCCAGGACCTTGGGCAAGATAACTTTTGGAAACCATAGTTTTGGCATATTTAAAATGAGGATAAACCTTCTCTTCCAGGGTTGTCACAAAGATTAAACGAGATGATGCACGTCACCCTTGGCCATTTGTGAGAGAATAGTGGTCAGGAATCAGGAACCTAGGTTCTGGTCCCAGCCCTACGCCCTCTAACCCTCAGTGTCCCCATCATTCTCATGAGGAAGTTGGCTTTGGTCATCTCTAAACCTTTCCTAGCTGTAATTCTCTTAGAAACTGTGCAGTCAGAGTTTATTCTTCCAAAGACAAATCTGCAATGTAGAGTGGTACATAAAAGCTCAGACTTACAAGTCAGGAAACTTAGTAGTTCGTTCCCCTAAGCCTTAATGCCCTATCTATAAAATGGAGTAATAACTCTCACTCATACAGTTGTAGGAGCATTAAATAAAGTAATGTATGTAAAGCACTTTGCACAGTGGAGGTCATGATAATAACAAGAATAGTAACTCTTACATAATGATTGTATAACATTAATATGATTACTCCTATAATTTAAATAATTACTCTCCTAAGGAGCTGAACTCTTAGATCTTGATTCCCACAACAGCCACTGAGAGTAAAGGAGTGTGCTGTCCTGTCACTGCCTCAGACTTAGTACCAATATGTAACATTCTTTATTGCTGAGTTAGGATGCTGAGCCCTCACTCTGCTCAAATGGTAGGACAATTTAGCCTGAATTTGTTCTGGATTTTCTGCCCCCTCCTTCAGTTTTGAAGATTGGGTCATAACCCCTGAGCTTCAGTGCCAAGGCATGGGTTGGAGACAAGAGGCTTGCAGGTCCAAGTACTTTTCAAACACTGCTCCGTGTAGGGTTCTACATCCATCATCCAGTGGCCCTATAGGCCCAGAAGATTCGTGTCCTTTGGGGTGACATTTGGGGCATTGGATTTGGCTACATGTGCCATGGCTTGCTGGGTCCTCTGCCTGGGTGCCCGTTACCATTCCATCTTGGGGACCAGATTCACTCTCTCACTAGCCCGGAGCCTCTCTGCAGAGTCCCTGTCAGGACTCGCAGGGTTCTCTTTCTCTCCACTCTACTCCACCCTTTTCTGCCCCCTCCAGGGCCTGACTTTCTGGAAACAATGGTCTGGAACTGAAGTGTTTGGCAGGAGCTGATTCTTTTTCTGCTTCCCACATGCTTCCCACATCTTAGCATAAGACGCCAGGGGCACACTAATGACACAACATTCAGTCCCGTGAATTTTAGTGTTTTTGTTATGACAGCATCCAACTTCTACAAACCAACTTGTGTCTCAGTTATATACTGCTGTGCGACAAACCACCCCAGAACAGAGTGGCTTAAAAAATAACCATTTATTCGGCTCCTGTTTCTGTGGGCCAGCAGTTGGAGCTGAGCTTGCTCAGGCGGCTCTGCTGGTCTTCGCCAAGCTCACTCATGCATTTGTGGTCAGCTGCTGGTCAGCTAGATCTTACCTGAGGGTGGGATGGCTGTCAGCTGGAGCGGTGGGGACACTGAGCCCATGACAGTCATCATCCAGCAAACTAACCAGACGGTTCACATGTGGTGACTCCAGGGTCCCAAAGGGCAGCAAGAGAAGGCAAACCTTAATACACAATCACTTTTCAAGTCTCCATTTCTGTTGTTTCATTGTCCAAAGCAAGTCACAAGGCCAAGCTCAGAGTCAGTGTAGAAGAATCAGTGTCAAGGATATGCCCTTTGAGAAGCATCTCCTTGTGTGTCCCTGGGTCCTGGTAAAGAAGAAATGCTAGACCATGAATATCAAGTGACCATGTATGTGAATTTCCCATTATAAGATGGGTCCTGGCCACAAATCCTTTTAGGAAAGAACTGGGAGGGTGATTATTGTATAAATTGGTGGTGGCATTGGATGTTTCTTTCTTAAAAGGACCCAGCATCCTTTAATCAATGGGCTCAATAGTTTTAAGAAGTGGTTTAGATCTGGAAACATCTAGAAAGAAATCCTAATTTTTCATTGCTATGGCTCACATAAAATTTCTCATCAGCTTTTGACTTTTTTTGGTTTTTCAAGTTAAATAACATTCAAGTTGGCTGCCCACCTATCCTACTGCTAGGAATACCATGGTGTCTTAGTCACTGTCAAAGATATCTATGGGACAAGGCATCCTGGTTGCCATTTGCTCTTTACTGCCCATTAAGGTAATTATTTCTACCATATTGCTGAGGGTTGGGTAACACTACCTGGCCTCTGCTTTCCAGATTCATTCACGTTGAAGCTAAATGAAGCCTGTTTTCATGGTGGCGTTGACTACTGTCAACCATGACCTAACAAGGGCCATCACCTTCAGGCTCCTCAAAGATGCTGGTGCCCTCTACACTAGCGCATTCCTTCCTGCCCTTTTCACTAAGAGCTCCTGGGTGCTCTTGGTAAACCTCATCAGGTGGTGGGTTCCCTTATTCTAGGAAATAAATGTATTCTAACAGACCCACATCCCTGAACCCTCTGATCTCTTCATCGGTACTCCGCCATGGCAAGTCTAGCATCTCCATCTCACTTACTGTAGGCTGTCATCATGTCCAGGCTTCAAGGAGCCACTCCTGCAGCCTAGGAAACCAGCCAGGGCATTCTTTCAGGACAGTAAATCCAGAGTCATGACAGTGTGCTCTTGTATTAATTAATTCTCTCCTAAGCGGTCTCCTGCCCCATGCCTCAGGTCCGTCCCCTCAAGATCCACTCTTATACATGTTTTCCTCAGTTCCTACCAGAATGCATGTGCCACGTCATGTGATTAACTCAGCGAGAAAGCCATTTCCTCCCAGACAATGGGCTATATTTCCTTTCTCCAGCTGGGGCAATGCGTGGAGTAGGGTGATCTTGATGAGGAAAAACATTTTCATGTGAGACACATGTCACAGATCAAGTCTGCTCTCCACCCTGAGATCACTGTCCTTGCTCTGATGACATAAGGCTCCTTCAGCCTCCGCTTATGAGAATTAGAAAGCTGGCTTTGATCCCCGCTGCCCACCAGCAGGGGTAGATTAGGGTATGTTTGAAGCCAGGCCTTGAACTGCGGTCCCCATTCTGGTTTCTCCCTTGGGGTTGCAGCAGAGCAATCTGGGAGAACAGAGAGAACTCATCAAAGGTCCCTGTCTTAGGGGCCAGCTGGGACACTGGCTTGTAGTACTAAAGGGGACATTAGGGTCCTAAGAGGTAATGTCAAAACACTATTCTCATTGCATTAGATATGTAACAATTGCTTTGAAAATGAAGAGGGATTTTTAGTGGGGTGTTTGGAGGTTTTTTTTGAGAATTTTTATAAGAGTTTATTGGAACCAAAATTGATGACCAATGCCAGGAAGCAAGATTTCAGATGCTCTGGAGAATAGAAAAGGAACATTTTAAAAGGTCAATTTAAAGAAAAATCTCAAGTAAATTGATGGTAGTGGGAATGGGACAAATTGTGAAGCCAGGAGGTCAATGGCTGAGTCAGGGGAAATACCAGGATACATGGAAGAGGCTGTGTTGGATACATAAGTGGAAGAGACCTCCAGAAGGAAGGAAGAAGGCAGCCATGCATCCCACTAGGGAACGGGTGGGACTGAAACAGCAAAGCACTAAAGAGCTCGGGAGAATTAGGAAAGATTCTTGGAAGAACTGGCAGTGAATTGGGTAAAACGGGTAAAAAACTGAAGAAATTAGTCTACAAAGGTTTACAGAGCACCTGCCCCGAGCAGTGGACATCAGACAGCCCTTGCTCTGACCTTGAGGAAGGCTTCCCTGCTGACTGTGCAGAGTTCTGTATCCAGCAGGCACATAATACCTGCTTGTACCTACCCTGCCTCTCTCAGGAGGTGATTACCCTGGGAAACCTCAAGTGTTAGATTGATGCTTCCCAAACCCACTATTGATATTGTTAAATTCCTGCCCCAACATCTCTGAGGGGCAGCAGTAAGCATGCTAGATAATTCTGATTCCATAAGCCCAGTGCCAAGCATTTGGGAAGCCCACCCTGGGCCTTCTACCTTGACCCGCCTGCTGTGTCTCAGAGCATGGCCTGATGAGGAAAAGAGTAGAGCGGTGAGAACCCAGAATGCTGAGGAAAGTCCCAGCAGAACCTCCCTGGTCTAGTCTCTTCATATTTACACAGGAAGGCCTGGGTCCAGATCAGAATTGCATGCTTCACCCATTACACAACTGAAGCCAATAGAAATGCTGCATTGGGTTCACATCATGATCATATATATACACACACACACACACACAATTGAGGCCACATTTAAAAATTGAGCAATATTATACACTTCTGGTTTGGCTTACCTACATTGCCACAAAAGAAATTTTTTACTGGGTTTGAGGAGTCACTGTCCCTTTAGACAGAGCACGTGCAGTCCAGTTTTCCACAGTCCCCACCCTTCCCTGTTGTTCCCCTGACCAGCTGCATTTGCAACTTATTTGCTGCCTTCCCAGCCCCTGAAAGCATCTGAGTTGAGGCCTCTGGCTTCCCTGATCCCAAATTTACTTCTACTATTTTATGAGCCCAAAGCCTGACAAATTATCTTTCTGCAGCTCAAGAGTTAATCATCAGTTTTTTTATGTAAATCAGAACAAGAAAGTCTTGCTTGCCCAATTCTTCTCTTGAATTTTGGTCTAATGCTACGCTTCACCAGTCCTGCGACCTGCATCTGCCTGCTCAACGTTTGTCTACTAACAGAAAGCTTTTTCTTGTCTCTGACCGAAGCCCTCTGAGGCCAGCAGCAGCTGTGGATGTCCAGGGAGTGCAGGCAGGCCAGCCAGATGAGTGGGGTGTGGGTGCACCCAGGCCAGATCCTCATCTGGGCTGTCTGGGTCCTTGCAGCTGCCACCGAGGGTGAGATACCTGGTGGGAGAGGAGGGCTCTCAGAAGGTGGGGTAAAAGGGGGAGTTTCCCTATCTTGTAGGATTTTCCACTGGTGGAAATGAAATTACTGCTCAGAGGCCTCTGAGGGCCCACGGAGGGCTGTGTAGTAACCTCAGGGCACCGGATCAATGTCCTGGCATTGTTGAAAGCCCCAGGGCGAGAGTCTCCTTCTAAGGCACATGGTAAGGCACAGAAGACCCTGCTCCTGCCCTTGAGTTGCTTGCACCCTGTGTGGGGCTTGGCGAGCCCTCTGTCCTGGGCACCGGGGAGGGGCGTGGGACAGAGCCTGTGCTTCTGTGGTGCTGGCTGCCCAGGCAGGACCTTTCCTATTGAAATGACATTAGCAGAGGTGGCACCAAGACACCTGGGCCTTGCAAAGTAAATAGCTGGGCAGTTAACTTATCAAGGCTCCATATTCTATGTGGCAGCCGAGAATCCTGCACTCTCAGTCTCAGAAGTTTCATCCTCAGACCCCTGGAGGTAGGCAGGCTAATTTCCAGAGGCATTTGTGTGAATTTTTTTAAAATTTTCATTGCTGTATATTTACTTGATGGGTATTCAAAAGCATATACATAACTCAGCAAAACCACAATTCTGTAGATGTTATTGCTTAAGAATCCTGTAGGTAAATGTGAAAAGTTTATTTAGATTTCATTTTAAGAAAAATAGAAGGCCAGTAGTCATATAGGTGATGCACAAACAATTGTGCTGGTGGGTATGAAAGGGACTGAAGTGTGGGCGACGGTGGGCCGGGCGATTCTGTGCAGTCCCAGGATCTCCAGAGCCTGGCGGGTGTCACCACGTCCACAGGGAGAGAAGCTGCTGTGCAGACGGGAAATGGGAGCCGACGTAACCAGGGCACAAGCGGTGGCTTGGTGCTGTGCTTTCAGGAGGAACTCAGCTGGTGCCCTGATGCAGGCGGCTTCTAAGGCAGCCTTGAGGGAAGCAGGGACATGGGTTCCCCGAGACGGAATCGGGGTGCTTCCTGGTTCACAGCCTCTGGGCCTAGAAGAGCGGCCTCGCCTGCGGGAGCTCTGGGTTCCGCCTGCTCCTGCCTGGGCCCAGCAGCCCCTGATTGCTCTGTGTGTCCCCGCAGGGCCAGCCGGAGATGCGCCCGTGAGGATCACCCGGCTGGGATGGGTCCGGGGCAAGCAAGCCACTGTGCTGGGGAGCTCCATGCCTGTGAATGTGTTCCTCGGGGTCCCCTTTGCTGCACCCCCCCTAGGACCTCTGCGATTTGCGAACCCAAAGCCTGCAATGCCCTGGAGTGACTTCCGAAACGCCACATCCTACCCTAATTTGTAAGATTGGGCTTGATCCCGTGGGTGGCCTGCGACCTGGGAGTGGGGGCAGAGCATTGAGGGGGAACAAAGGTCATGCAGCCCAATGGGAAGGGGGAGCATCGGGGAGGGTTACAGAAGTGGCTTTAGTGACCACATGGCATCGTTCAGAACATGTAGATCCCCTGGGCAATCCCATTTGAACTTTCTGGATTGGAATCTCCAGACTGGGCCCAGAAAACTGGACTGTCTGAAAGCTCTCTAAGGATTCTGAATTCAGTCAGTTTTGGGAACCACTGCGATGGGCTTACTGAGTCTTGGTTGGAAGGGACTGTCAGGTGTTTCCATGTGACCTCTCAGGCGTAGTCTCCATGGTCAGGCTGGGTAAGGGCTGTAGAGGGAAGAATCACACTAAAGGGATTTAGCTCTAGCAGTCAACACTGTGCCCAATACAGAGCCTGGCTCATAGTGGAAAATTCATAAATACCTGTGAAATGATGACACAAGTGTGTCTCTGTGACACAGGGGCACTGGGAGGTAAGGAGCTCCCAGTTGCTGCAAATTTTCAAGCTTGGGTAAAATTCAAGTTTCTGGGTGAATTGTGGAGGAGCCTCATACATTAGGTGTGAGCTGAGATTTGGAAATCCCCAAGAATTTTCTGACTGTAAAATTTTGTCAAGTTCTCATGTTGGTCACATTCCTGGCTTCGGGTTCCCAGGCAGAAGGAGTACCCTGGTGCCAGGAAGCTCCCTAAGCCACAGAAGACCCCATGTGGCCCAGGGACTGAGAACACGAAGCGGAAACTCATCTAGTCATTCATTCATTCACTCACTCATTCAGCTCATATCTGTTGAGAACCAGCTCGATAACTGGATTCCATTAGGCCCTGGATGACACCCCCACGGGTTAGACATAGCTTCCCTCAGGAACCTGCAGACTGGTAGTGGTAGTGGGGACATAAACAATAATGACAATTAAAATATAGAGTGGCAAGGGCCACCACAGGGGATCAGAGAAGGTGCTGAGGAAACACCTAGCCTAGCTTTGAGGGGAGGTCAGGGATGGCTTTGTTGAGAGCATGAGACCTTGATTTCTGATAAACAACCTACAAAGGGGAAAAAAGGCATAAAAACTTGTCAGGGGGTAGATTTGCAGCAAATCTTTATACTATTCTATCCAAAAATTAGTTGAACACTTTGTGGAAATATTCACATATACGATCTCACTTAATCTTACTGTGTGTCAGGCTCGGTGAGAGGGGCTATGAGGTACTTAGGTGACTAATACAGAGCCCCGGGCTTCTAGCTGCTCACAGTTGAGTTGGGGAATATGTTTACACTCATATACAAGTCTAGAAGTTCTAGGAACAAAACGTAGAATATATAGCTGTTTCCAAAATTACCTAGGGTCTAATGGAAGAAATCGCAGAAGGCTTCTTGGAGGAGGTAGCATTTGGACTGAATCTGAAAGAAAGGACAGAACATGAGCAAGTAGATTGAGGAACAGAGCAGTCTAGGCAGAGGGACCAGTTTGAGCAAAGGCCTGGATGCAGGAGTCTCTCTGCCAACCTGCCTCAGTTGGTTCCTGGTGGAAAGGCCTGGAAATGTCCCTTTGTTCCTCTGGGGCCAGAAGAGGAAGCTGCCAGGGCAAAGCTGTCTATATGCAACCCAGTGTCCTGACCTCTAGGGTTTGGGGAATTGCTGAGCCAGTCTGAGTGAGTCTTTGTGTCTGTGTCTGGATTATGCTGGTGGGTGTAGCATGGGTAGGTGCTGGGTGGTAATGGTACAATTATTATGCACGGTGTACTTTCCTACCCAGGAATCAGATCAAAGAGAATCATAGTTTGTATGTTTGTGCCCCCGGTGGGGGGGGGGGGG